CGATATTTCGACATTTTGCCACATTCAGTTATTTTAGTATTCATTTTAATCAAATTCAGACGAAGCGTCGAATGAACTTTTTTTTTTTGGAAGGGAATCGTGATAATTAGCACGAATCTGTTTAATCACTTGATGTTAAGTCGAGGGAAAAAGAAGAGAGTAAAGAGGAGGATCGCTAAGATAAGATGATCTCGCTATTTAATGTATATCGATATCTATCTGTAGACACACAACGTGCGGGCCAATTATAAACGTAGAGCGGTACACGTATGCATTAATAATGTCTCCTTGCCGAGATATTCAGGACACTCTAGAGTGCAACGTTGGGCAACGTTGAATCAAGCCAACTTGCCAAGAAACACATACATAACGTGACGCGATAGCAAGTGTATAAGTTATGTTTGTGTTCTTTGCTCATATGCGCCGGTGCATCTCGGTGTCTCGTTTCGACCGTTAGTTTTCGACCTAAAAACTTTGTTCACCCTCCCCTTCGATCTTGCTCAAGCATCGATTCTTCTTTGGAAAATCATGCCTTCCTAATTATAGATACGGGTCGAATAAAAACATTCCATTCGGCTAAAATATTAAACGTGTTTAACGGGAACGAGCCCGATTAAACGCGATTCTTAAAAATCGAGATGGGTTTATATTCTCGCTCGCGACAATTTTCACAATTTCGAATAAAATATCATTCGTGTAGTATAATGGAGAATAGATTGCAATTTATTCGATCCCTTGTATCATTATTTCGTAAACTAAATAAAATTTGAGAACGGAAAATATTAATCTACCTACGGAACATATCTACTTACGAATTTCTCGAGAAATCTTTTATTAAATCGTTCGTTCAGTTAATCAATAAAGTCAATCTCGTCCTGACAAGTATTCGTATTATTATCTAACTAAATTCTAAGGAAGAAAGATATCAAAATTGTTTATCAGTCGTATCGAGATCCGTCCGTTTATCGTTTCACGAGACGTAATATTCCATTGTGTGTAAGCGGTTCCAGTTCGTTCGTAGGTTATCTTTAAAATCGATACCAAGACGGCGTTTGCAGCGCCATCAGTATCTTGGTATGACCACTGGTGGGTAAAGCGACGTGTCTGTTGGTAGTCTGTGGCCTGGAAAGCACTCCTTTCCCGAAAACGTGACCTTTCCTTGCCAATTCGGCTGCGGCATCCAAACTGACCTTCGACACCGCACCACCCGCCACCAATTGACGGGCATGATCCTCTTTGGAGGGATTCTTCCCACGCACGACACCCTCCTTATCCCTCAGGGTGACGTATTGGTAAAATTCCTTTTTAGGATCCTGTTTCTTACGTCCCCAAACCGTGAATGGTTCCGGTACCAAGGATGGTCGTGGGACAAACGGCACTTTTTCCCAGGGGAAGTAGTCCTGCTTCTGTAAATTTCATCATCATCGTTCGTGATGCGTTTTCTGCCCGCTCGTACTCTTCTCTCGATCATCAATTGTTTTTCAGGATTATTGTTATTGTTATTATTATTATTGTTGTTTTTTTTTTTTTATTATTTCCTTTCGCCGAGCTTCGATCAGAGAAACTTGATCCCTTTCGATTCGTCTTCACTTCCACACCATCATTCTTCCATTATTATTGCGACATTATATATATATATATTTACTTATATCGATCGTAGCAACGCGAGTTAAAATGATGAATCTTAAATTATTCAATGATCGTGCCACCGCCATTCCGGTTACTGCAGACGAATATAGAATTGGATAAGGAAAATACAAACGTCGTCCTTTTCTTCCCCGATGATTCCTCGCTATTTTATATTCTCGATTATTTTCTGCCACGGTTATAGCGCGTACCGTGTTTCTCATCCTCGCGTAAAAATAGACGAAAGCAACAGTGAATGGTATACGAGGAACGCAACACCGGCGCCCTCGTGCTCGCCTCCGCACATTCCGAATTGTTGAGCGAGATTTTTTTAAGGCGATCCCTCCTTACGCTTGCTCCTCCAATATAATATCGTATATTGCCGTAGATTTTTCGTTCTCTTCGTTCCCAAACACGTTGTTGAACGTTCGATTCCTAAATCTCTCTCTTTTTATTTTTTCAATATTCAATTACGTTCTATGTTTTAGAAACATTTTTTTATCTTTATCTTATTAATTCTCATCAAAGTCACAGCTCACTAATTATATCTTGCTTCTTATAAAATTGTCCATAATCCCGATATCTCGTTCACGTGTAAAAAAAAAAAAAAAAAAAATTTTCTCTTTCTCCTTCCATTTTGTCCAAGGACGACAAAAATAGAGCGAAATTGCATTATCGATCTAAATATTTCGAAGAATTTTCGAGAAACAATAGTTCGAGAAACACGAAGCTTTTGCGACATATAGGTTACAAAAGCAAATATGGCCAGCGAGAAAATCACATATGAATTTCCGTGACGAATTTTAGCTCCCTTAGTGGTGGGAGTCAACATCGTTGGTCTACGTCGTGAGTCTAAATTAGGGCAGAGTAACGCAACACCGATGCTCGCAGAATCCCCTCTACTGAAACGAAGAAATACGGAAAGTATATCTTAATAACATATCTTTGACCACCGAATCGCTCTTTCCTTCCCCTGGTGTGAGTGCGCGTGTCGTTTCATCCTTCTCTCTTTCTCCTTGGAATCGTTCGAGATTCCTCCCGCTCTCTCTTTCTCTCGAGAGATCTTTCAAAACATGGTTAGAATCGCTGGGAAGTAAGGTATTCGGGTCAGCTTTTAACGATGCCATTGATCCATGATCAACCGATGGAGAATCGGTCTTGATCGATCCAAACTTGTGTTCGCGGAGTTGAAAAATTCTCTCCTCTCGAGAAATTTCACTGATTTTCCTCGATTTTTTTTATTTTCTTCGCTTCAAGTTTGTAAAAAAGTTCGATCAGGTTGATTTATTCGTTTCTTCGTTCATTTTTCTTATTATTTCTTTTTATTTTTCTTTAACGCGAATTAATCTTTCATCGTAGAACAGACCACGCGAAAGATCGAAATACATTTTTTTGCTGCTCACGAATCCAAAATTTGCCGGGTCAGTATGATATCTAAGTTTAACGCGACAGAGTCCCGGAAAATGGCTGCAACGCTATGAATAGTCGTTTCTCTAATTCCTTTGCCCTCGAATCACTGCTTTATACGAATTCTCGATATTTCGAAGATGGAAATATCGTTTAATATTTGTAAACGTGAAACTCGTTAAAATTCGAGTATTGATTTGTAAATTAGAAGTTTAAGAGGGCTTAAAAATATAGTAAAAACAAACAAAGAAAAAAAGTTCTCGATCTTTAATCCAGCGATCATTTTTATATCGAATATCGATCGCCCGTGTCTTATTGAAATAAATTCCATTTCTCTTTAAAATAATAATTCGTATCCCAATTAATTCCCAATTATTGACACAAACGAATACACGAAGCATACAGTTGGTAGAATAAATAATAAAATCTTGGTTACATTGGGAGATATAACACATACATATGTGTACAAGTGCATACAAAACACAGAGGATGTTGTCGAAAACAAATCATTCAACAGGTATCTTTCTTTTTTTTTTCCCGTCCGTTTAATTCGTCCGGGTGACTCGTGTCAGAGCTTATTTGATGCAGGTACAAATTAATTCCGTAAACTGGAGGTTATTATTACTGCGCAGTCGTATATCTGGTTTAACTCTCATAATTGATACTCGACGGCATACTTGATCCGTGCTGTTAAGTGTGCACGTTAATTGAAATTTAGGCTTGTGCTAAGTACGATCGATTCGTACCGAACAAAATATTCGTTTCATTTTTCGGGAGACACCGAGTGCATGTATCAAGATTTGAGAAAAACTTGTCAAAGAGCAATTGTAGCAACAGTGACAACATTGTAAATAGTAATAATAATGGCCGGAATACAGTGTGGAAGTAGAGACTTCGAAATGCATCCTTCGAATTCGATCCGTCGACAACGATACAACGATTCCGTATTTCGCATAATTCTGCTAATATCGTTGATACATCGTTGCCTGTCGTTGATCGATTTCGTGAATGAAATAAAAAGGGTAATCAAGGAGTGTCGTTGTATTCTCGTGGATCGTGAACGAGCCAATGTCTCGCAATTTGACAAATCATTTTTAAGGTTAGAAATCAAGACGCGAAATAGGAAGAAAGAAACTTTGGAATCGGCAGAGAATTTGAAAGGAGAAGCGAAACGTTGACTCTTACGGATCTATCAAAATCCGTACAAGGTTGTCTCGGTTAAAGTGTTCCCGTGTCATACTTTGACGCTTTTATTCGACGTTAGTGCCATCCAGCAAAAAACATTATTAAGACATACTTCATCCCGCTCTGTTGGCAATCCCATGTATACTGACCGTGATGGAGTAAGACGAGACTAAAGGCCGTGAGTAGGGTCGTCGAGTCGTGTAGAAGTCGCTCTCGTAAACCATTTTTGCCTTTTCACTTCGTTCTCCTTTTTTCGGTTGATAATTCGGTTGATGAATTCGTTCGTCGGTGCTATCTTATTGAACTTGTTGCTCGATAAACGTATTGATCGTTGCACGTACGACCGATCTATCGTAAATGTTAACGTGGGCACCAGTATGAAAGATCCGCTATTGCGGCCACGATGAAGGTTCGTACGATTCTACTCGTTCGACCAGACGCTTCTTCGTCTTCCACTACGGATCGTTTCACCCCACTTCGCGCAGTCTTTTTCTTTTCCACCGTACATACGTACGAGGGAGAGCATTTTACGTACGTGTCGCGTCTTCTCCTCAGAAGATTCTCGCGGTCGCCACTTCGATTGCGTCATTTTCAGCACACGGCCTGATGCATCGAAAGAAATAGAATTGTGTTAAGGTTGCAACTGGCAACCCTCTTTCAACGCTCTCTCCCACGTTTCTTCCTTCTCATTCTTATTTACTCTTTCTTTCCCTTTCTTTCCTTTATGTTTTATTTATACATGTCTTTATGTATCTCGTATACGCGCCATTTTACATTTTTTTTCTTGTTTTTCTTTCGTTTTATTTTTCACACATTAAGCGTCGATAAATAATAAAATGATACGCGTCGAGAAAAATTATTCGTAAGATCTGCAAATATGTTTTTTTTTTTTTATTTTCGTTTGAACGATAAAGTTTTGACTAATGTGCATTACATTATATAAAAATAGTAGTTATTAATATCTACATTTTATTACTAGTTTACTATTTTTATACGAATGACACGAAATTAGATATTCAATGTCATGTTTGTTTATTTAATCATACATTATATCCGTGATTGTGCTTATATTACATCAGATATTACATTGGCAATCAGCCATCATTTTGCACTAATTTTATAGTTGGATCAAATTCTTACATTTTTTTTACAAAAGAACAATTTATTTATTTATAACAATGCCTTTTATTCGAACAAAATCTGCTCTATTGAATAGTTAGGAAATAATCTTAAATTATTTCTCAGAGTTTAAATTTCAGTTTGAGATCTCAAGAATTAAAGAATTTAATCTAAATATTCTCTGTTCCAGAAATATATTTGTATTTTTTGTATTAAAAATTAAATCATATTGCAATTTTATAAAAGAAATGACGAAATATGTCCAATTCATATCCCGCACTTTATCATGAGCTAAAAACAAGCATAAAGAGAAAAAATAATAGAAATAGGGAAAAAATATGAAATTGAAATTAATACTCCTTCAGGATGCCGCAAATGAAATATATAAAAGTAAAAAATATCAGAAGAAAGTTAAAATAAAAATAAAATAAGAATTGACTGACAGTGCTATCTCTTGAATATCAAAAACACTTCTTTAAAGTTAAGATAAAGTAAAATAAGAATTAAGAATTAGCGCTATCTCTTAAATATTTTTAAAAACGATTTTTCGAAATAACATTTTTAACATGCCGATAAATGAGAAAACGACAAAAGTTTACGATCAGCGCCATCTCGCGTTTGGATATTCGAAGCTCCTACTTGTTATTAGCATAGTAGAATATGCAAGGAGGTATGCGAAGTTACCGACAAGGAAAGCAACACTGTGCGAGAAGGACAGAGAGTGTTTCCCCGCCCCTTTAAGAACGTTAAATATAAAAATCACTAATTACTTATTTTTTATTTAAAATTTCTACACGTTTAAACTTGCATCTTGAAACTAAAACTTCAGACAAGTTTCTCGTATCAATTTTATTACGAAATTCTTTTTCAATAGTTTTTTATTAATGATTAATGCGTTATACCGTCTAATGTATCGAAGACGCCATATTGAAATTTAATTAATTATTCATTTTCTACTTAAAATTTCTGCGCATTTAAACTTGCATTTTGAAGCTAAAATTTCAGAGAAGTTTCTCGTATCAATTTTATTACGAAATTCTTTCCCATTAATTTTTTATTAACGATTATTGCGTCATACATACCGTCGGATGTATATAAAGACGCCATATTGAAGTTTAATTAATTATTCATTTTCCACTTAAAATTTCTGCATTTTTAACTTTGCATCTTAAAATTAAACCTTAAGACAAGTTTCTCGTATCAATTTTACTACGAAATTCTTTCCCATTAATTTTTTATTAACGATTATTACATCATACATATCGTCGGATATATATAAAGACGCCATATTGAAGTTTAATTAATTATTCATTTTCCACTTAAAATTTCTGCATTTTTAACTTTGCATCTTAAAATTAAAGCTTAAGACAAGTTTCTCGTATCAATTTTATTATGAAATTCTTTTCCGTTAATTTTTTATTAACGATTAATCATCATATCGAACCAACGTTATTAATTACGTTATAGATTTTTTTTATTAATTTCTCATTCTTATAAGATTTAATTCTAAATATTATTATACGTATTTAAAACATTATTCCCTCTTCTATTTTCATATAAATTCATATAAATTTTATTTCTAATTTTATTGGTTTAAATAAATAAATTGATTATTTATTACTAGTGGAGATTTACAGCTGATGTTATATGAAAATCATTAATAAATAATTAATGGAAAAGAATTTTATATTAAAATTAATATGAGAAACTTGCCTGAAACCTTAGTTTTAAAATGCAAATTCAAAAGTACCGAAATTTTCAGTAGAAGATGAATAATTAATGATTTTTATATTTAATGTTTTCAAAGGGGCGGGGAAATATTCTCTGTCCTTCTCGCACAATATTGCTTTCCTTGTCGGTAACTTCGCATACCTCCTTGCACATTCTACTATGCTAATAACAAGTCGGAGCTTCGAATATCCAAACGCGAGATGGCGTTAGTTTCGAAAACTTTTTGATCGCTCTCTTATTTATCGACAAAATGTATTTTGTCAATAATTAGATAGGAGAGAAGTGAGACATATAAAGGTGAATAATGAAAAAAAATAAATGAAGAATAAAAATAAATTAAATATTCAATCATCATCATTGTCACTTGAATAATTAAAACATCTTTTTAAAAATAGGATAAAGTAGAGCATTTGATGTTGATGTGAATATGTTTAATTTGCTTCACTCTAGAAATGTCATATATAAATATATATCATATAAATTTTTTTTTAAATATTAATATTCTGATTTTTTGTATGTATTGGTATGTATTTCAAAATATGAAAATATGAAATGAAGTTCTAATTAAATTTTAGATGTATCCTTTATTATATATAAATTAGTGATATTTTCAGCTTATATAATATTATAATATTAATAACAAAGTTTTCTTATTATTTTGTTTTTTATTTTTTTACAAACAATAATATATGATTACAACTAAATACATATATATCTATAGGTTTCAAAAATAATTTTAAAAAATATGAAGTATTTAACATTTATTTCATTATTTTAATTGCAAAAATATGAAGCTAACAAAATATAAAACAACAATATTTTCGTATGATCATTATTTTATCATATCTTCAAGTATCTAATTAAAAGTATATAAAATCTGTTATTATATATGTATATATAACACTAAGTGGAAAAAGAAAGATATTTTTTTCTTCATAAGGATGTTAAGAGGATAGAGAATCCAACGAGACCAACTATAACAAACAAATAAAAGTCAACAAGCAAAATTCAATTGAAATAAAAATGCTTTTTTTGTAACTAGTTTGATAAAGATTGATTAAATATATTAATCTGTTAATCAGTAATATATTATATACTTATATTTATACATATAAAACTATTTATGTGATTGATATGTTCAAAATTTGGTAA